GAGACTGTCCAGCTAGATCTAGCATTCAGGTTTAAGACTGTCCAGCGAGATCTAGTATTTGGGTTTGAGACTATCCAGCTAGATCTAGCATTCAGGTTTGAGACTGTCCAGCTAGATCTAGCATTCGGGTCTGAGACTGTCCAGCTAGATCTAGCAATCGTGTTTTAGACTGTCCAGCTAGATCTATCATTCGGGTTTGAGACTGTCACGTTAGATCTAGCAATCGGGTTTTAGACTGTCCAGCTAGATCTAGCATTCCTATTTGAGAGACCTGAATGCTAGATCTAGCTGGACACTTTCAAATGCTCTTTGTGATGATAATGTAAGGGAGGGAAGGGGTACAAAAGAAACTTTACAGTTTTAAAGTTATTATTTGTGTTCCAGCTCAACTTGTTAATCACAAAGACACACAGAAAAATAATGTTTCTTACTTTTTTAAAACCATATATGTCAAAGTTTTCAGTTTATCACATCAAACTAAAATCTTGTGGAATTCTGTGTAAATAGCACAACAGTTTAATTGCTTCAAGTGTCTTGTAAGTTATTTTGGAAGATTGTAAAATTAGGTATGGATGGCATGTTTCCATTTTATTGTGGTTTTTCATGATACTTATATGACCTTTTATTAGCTCTGTTTTAATACCAAAAAGAGTAAAGTAATGAAATAAAATTCATTAAAGGTACTAAAAACCACAGAATTGCTGCATACAAATACCGTAAAAACTGACAAGAAATGATCTAAAGTTACAGAAAACAGAACACTGTAATATATCCAAAAAGCAAGAACTCACCAATCAAAAATGCACTGACCTAATGATACTTTACATAAGTTTCAACGAAGTATTTTATTAAAGAAACACTTCAAGATCCTTCCCTATAAAAGTTACCATTGACAAATTATCTTTATATAATTGTCAAACCTATTAATAAACAATAACTAAACATATTTTCGTAAAGGTATCTCATTTGCTCGTACAAAAACAAACATATCTACAATAAGTTTGACGAGTACCGAGTTAATGTGAAAATGTTAAGAGGATCTAATCTTATCATAGTAATCACACAAGGAAATGTGTTGTTGAAGTAACAGAAATATATCTCAAAATACCAGTGGCCTTACTTGATTGAGATTAACTCATACATAATCACAACTTGACTAAAATTAAATACACGAAGTGAGACATAGTAAACTCCAGTAAAACAAAATAAAACTACGAGTAACGTAACAAACCTTTCTTCATGGTTCAACAATACTTGTATGATCAGTGAATAAGTCTAACATTATCAAAGTTTCCACATTTGGTCATGTAAATATTACCATATGAAAACATTTGCAAGAAATAACACAGAATTAATATCTTGAAGATCTCCCATGAGGTCCATGTTTATTTTCTGAAGACTTGGTGAAGGACTAGGTGCATTGACAGACACTAAGTTTTCTGTCCCTTTCATGTCTTGTTTTGCATCTAACAGCTTGATAGGCTGAGATCTACCACAAAGTGAAGTGTATACTTTATAAATCAAAACTGGAACCAATTAAAAATATAAAAATAAGCTCTTAGAGTTTATAAAAATATAAAAGACTTAAATATGTTTAAAACTATCTTGTAAACATAACCATGTATATATTTTTTCTTTCAGAATGAGTATCTTTTCTGAATGATTACTTTCTTTAGTATAACAGGAAATAATTTTATTATGGACAGATGTGGCTTCTATGTGAGATATAGATAACAACACCGAGGCAGAAAGTAGAATGGGGACATTGTCTACAAAGACATCAAATAAGGACAAGTCACTGCAGGGGCGGAATTTATGGTGTGTAGGACGAAAAATACCTTATAAATTTGAAACTGTTATATAATGTTGCTATAAGACTGGGATTAAGCAAACTCAAATAGCATGTTCACTGAGTTGTCAATAGATACATTTTATTTAACTTTAGATGTTGATTTACTTTTTTATTTCCGACTTGTCATTACACATTCCATACAGTCAATATATAGTGCTATTTAGTGTTCATAATATGAACCTATTATGAAAAATTGTAATAATCAATATTTAAAATAAAAATTTACACCTAGCAAACACTATTAATCCACTAAAATGCTGTGTAAAAATCCGTTTTTTTATGGTTGATAATAAAAATTACAAACAGTATGAAATATTAGATAAGGGATCTCCATTATTATCATTATAGTGACTTTTTTTATGAAAGTTAAGTCAAGCTTTAAATCTGTTTAATTTGACACCAGAAATTTGAAATTGATGCCATGGTAAAGAGACAAAATTTTCATCATGGATATCGAATCCGAGTTTCTACCATTGTTTGTCTTCAGACACACTGCTTTGCCACTGGGGCGATTTCTGATTATTTAAATAATATAGTAGCTTCCATTAGTCTATTTATGAGTTAGAAGCAAATCGTATTTTACTCTTTTTTAGATATATTACCTGAACAAAACTGACAAAAGTCAGTGACCACAATTTATAGCAAATAAATCTCTGTGATCCTGTCAAGACATCAACAATGTGTGCCACAAGAATATCAGCTTTCTATTTCAACGTGTATAGAACTATAAAACCGTGTTCTAATTAAAAATATAATAATGAAATATTATTGTTAAATATGTAGCAGTTTAGGAAAATAAGACATTGTCCAGAAATATAAGATTATGATCATGTTTAGGAAGGCCACGCCTTTTTCTCGAGAGCTTAAACTTTATCTACAAAGATCTGATCTCATCCAGTAAGATTATTAATCAACCAACTTACTCTTCAGACATTATTCAGGTAGATTATTAATCAACCAATGTGCTTAATAGATTTGGGGCTCGGGAATGTTCGGCGTTTCAGTATGATATTGATCGTGATCTTCTATTCTGATTTTTAAGACACCAACTGGGAATTTGGAATGCTGTCAAATAGAATCGGGGCACTAGCCTAGTGTGCCAGTACCTAGCAATACCTCTGAAGAGAACATTGAGAGTGAAATTTTCGATCTATCAGATCATAAAATCTGCAGCTAATGGATGTGTAAGAATAGTTTAAAAGAGTGTGAAATACCTGTTTATTAACATGTGCTTTTATTTAAAGCAATTCGTTAACAATAGTATGTTCGAAGTTTAAAGATAACTAGTCCATTTTATTTTAGATGTCTCTGCCAATAACGAAAATCCAAAATCAGGATGATAGCAATGTTGAGGCTCAGGATTTAATGAGGCCTGAAAGTTACCAGAGTTACGCGACATCTATGGGTATAATAACAAATTAGTCGACAAATACATTAACAAATTAGAATGAACTCTTCTTAACAATACATAAAATTAAGTTTTCAGTTGTACAGTTGAATGGGTTTGAAGAAAGCTTAGGTTTCCAATTAATACAAGTCTATCTAGCTAATATGTAAAACTTGACATGTAAACGTAACACTTGGGGCAACAATATCTTTTCAATATTTTTACAAGCTCATAAAAAACATATCAAAAACCTGCATCAATCTGTACTGCAATACGATGAAACCGTTCATACCTGAATCTATTTATAATTTACCAAAATATTCAAATATGTATTTAATGTATTATCATGTATCTTGTTACAATTGAAATGAGGGTAGTTTTCCATGCAACTACTAATTGCGGTTAAATTAGTATTTTTATTGCAACAGTACTTCATTAAGTACAGGATGTCTAGAATAATACAAAATAATTTAATAGCAGACACTGAAATCTGTAAGTCTACTTGTCTTAGGCCTAACATTAAGTCTTTATTAAATACGGCCTATATTTGATAAATTAACACTGTAACTCGTGTACGTTTTTTTTTCTTCAGTTTAGTTAGGGCTAAAATTTACCATAATTAATACTATCAATAAATAAACTTATAGTACTATTCTACGACCTAACATTATAAATTTAAAAACTTTGATAAGCTTTCAGTTTGTTGAAAAAATGTCTACTAAAGTATATTTACATCAGCCTTTTGTTTATAATTCCTTGAAATTAAGTGCGCTCATGCACATTTATAAAGTAAGGTGCGTGCGCATTTTCACGACAGACATAAAAGTATTATTATAATAGATATTTAATGTAAAATACGAGAAATAATACAGCAGGATTCATACATTTCAGTAATCACTATAAACAAGACAGATATTTCATGAGAAAATTAGAACATACATATCACAGCCGTATCAAACAATTCATGTTCAGGACACAATCCAGTCATATAGGAACTTGTGCATATGTTACTTACTATAACCATCAATTGATACAAACATCTACCTATTCGAATCTCTGTGGGGCCCTACAATAAGTTGAGTACCAATGATTTTGTTTTAGTCAGGATTTGAGATAATTAATGCAGGGGTCGTCTGGCAAATTCTTTGAAATATTTTTAATCTTTATTTTGAAAGCTTGAAGGCTTATAATATCAAAAATCAGAGTTTGATCTCTATGGTGGGCACAGTGCAGATAACACAAAGTGCAGGTTTGTACTTGAGAAACAAAAACTGGATACACTAAAAGAAAAAAAACGTTAAAATTTATAGCTAGCTTATTCATAATCCTAGACTGATGTTTGGGATTAAAATCTTGCCAATTATACAACTTACTGCTGTTTTAAGTGACATAAATATTGAACAGAAGTGTTGGATTTAATATTCAGGGTATACTAATTTCCTAGTTTAAATTTCTTACACTAGCATTTCGCAACCTTTTCGATACCAGGGATAGATTGTCGCGGACCACTTACATGCAACTATAACAAACAACAATTATGATTTACGTACGGATGTTCTATTAGCTTTTGTTTATTTTCACGAAATCACCCCCCCCCCCCCCCACGGCCTGGCAAGGTGGTTGTGGTTTGTTTTGAATTTCATGCAAAGCTTCACGAGGACTATCTGCTCTAGCCACCCCTAATTTAGCAGTGAAAGACTAGAGGGAAGGCAGCTAGTCATCACCACCAACCTCCAACTCTTGGGCTACTCTTTTACCAACGAATAGTGGGATTGACCGTCACGTTATAACGCCAACATGGCTGAAAGGGCGAGCACGTTTGGGGAGACGGGGATTTGAACCTGCGACCCTCAGATTGCGAATTAAGCACCCTAACCACTTGTCCATGAGGTGGTTGTGATGGAAACACTACCTCAGTCTAACATTTAATCATATGACACGACTCCATTACTACAGGGACAAATTGACCACCTAACGATCCTCCTTCTGAAATTTTTAAAAATTACCTTTCTCATTAAAACTTTTCAAAATGAATTTTCTTTTAATACTATTAGTATATACTCCTAACAATTATTGAAAAAACATTTCCTTTGAATTAACTTTTTGTAGCTAAATAATATCGACAGTTCCTATAAAAATGAGTCAAGTACCATACTCATTTACATTAACAACTTTGCCATTGAAACATATTAATAAGTTTAATTAACTGTCAGTTTTTAGTTTTTCTTTTTGCTAGAAATTCCCAAGTAGAATAACCATTTTACATTCTAGAAATTACAATATTTCTTCAAAGGAACCTGATATTTTGCTCAATTTAAAGACATAAATGTAATAAAATATTTTCCACAATACTGGCTTTTGTACAGAAATATTGTCCATAACTCTATATTCGATAATAAATCTGGCTGAAAAAAAAGGTACAATTCTGAGAACAAGTTCTGGACAGTTCTGGAAGATATACATCTATAAATAATTTTACTTTCTCACAATAATAATAAAATACCAGTTCATAATGGAGTCATCTGGCAATCTTTTTTCTTACAACCCTGATTTGCAAAAACACAAACTTTCTTGCAAACTTGAATAAACTGCTTATCAAAAAAGCTCATTTTATCAAGAAACATTTGTATAAAAAGATACATTTATAACTCTAAGTAACAACATAATAACAAACATTATTTAAAGTTTATATTAATAGTAATTTTGATTAAAGAAAGACATCATTTATTTAGAAACTACAATATGTGAATGCTTACACGTGATCTATATTACACTTTAGAACAATATATGCCTTCCAGTGGGCCACTACAAACAAAGTTTATTTTAATAGTTCAGTTTTCTAAAAATATAGATCAAATTGTAGTTTCACAGATTCAAATATAGAGTTAAATATATATATATATATATAAATATTTTATATTTTGTTAATGGTAAATGTGAATTTCTATACCAACTTGTCATATTTCTAAGAAAAAAATCCATCTACTTGTGAGGAATCCCAGAGATTTTACTGTAAAAGTTGTGATAATGAAGTCTGAATTATCTCCTCATGCTACAAAATCACATAATTACTTTTTTCTTTATTAAAGCAAATGTTCGAATCGCTGGCCATTAACATCGAAGCACTTATTGATTCAAAGTTAATGGCCAGCAAACGAAAAAGAACTTTGATAAAAAAAAAAGTAATTACTATATTTCTTATTGTTATTCGAAATCCCAACTTTTGCACCACACTGTATTTCCACAGATATTTATTGGATAATTATATCAATACCACAACCACAGTATCAAAAATGTTTCGGCAGTACAAACTGATCTTTAAATTTATAGGAATTTATGGCCAAATTTGAGGAAAAATAAAGGAAATAAAGGTTTCTCCGTAAGGCCTAACTATATAAAAGTTTCTCCGCAAGGCCTAACTATATAAAGGTTTCTCCGTAAGGCCTAACTATATAAAGGTTTCTCCGCAAGGCCTAACTTTATAAAGGTTTCTCCGTAAGGCCTAACTATATAAAGGTTTCTCCAGGAGGCCTAACTATATAAAGGCAAATATTTTGTGAGTGGTAAAGAAAAAAATAAGGGATAAAAAACTATATTAAAAGGTTCCGCCTTTCCTTAATGTTCCATGTTTCAGTCTTGTATTTAAATTTCTAGTAATAGTTCAAAACATAAAACTGCAATCTAGAACTGTTTTAAAGTTAAACTTAGTCCTTTCATTAAAAAATGCAACTGAAAACTAGATGTTCTTTGCAGTAATATAATAATATTTAATGCAGGGTAGTCTTTAACTACAATTAAAACTAGATCACAAGTTAGACGCAATTCCATCTATCATCAAGTTAGTAATTTTCCACACTGTCGTTACATAATCTTTACAAATGTCTGGTTTTGACAATATTAGTGCGTAAATGGTAAAATGGTGAATGTTATGATATACAAAGAATTTGTTGGATACTCTGTTAGGAAGATTTCCTGGTTCATGACTAGCCATACATTGTAAATATAAGTTACTTTAAGTTACAAATTCTCTGACTCAAAAATTAACTATGTTTGTCTGTATCTGACTTTATAGGCTGCACTCAAATAGCTTTTAATTAAACTCTGTTATTGCATCTTAAAATACACCGAGATAAAGTCTGAGGTAGAATTGAATCTTTCTTTTAAAAAGCACTTTTCTCCCAATTGGAAAAAAAAAAAGCACAAGTATTTAATATTTAGAAGGAATTTAACTTCAGTATGTACAGTCAGTCTTTAAAAGTATTCAACAAATACAGTAAAGTACAGTTTAACATAAAATGTCTGCTGTATAAACTGAATTCCTATCAACTAAAAGATGTGTATTACAAGGGAAACGGAAAATTTGTAATACTACAACTCCTGAGAGACTGCTAATAACAAATATTATGTCAGGATCATTAGAACTAAAAACAATCTAAACTGCAATAACTAAACCACAATGGCCATTAGCCTAGGATTGATTAAAACTAATACATATCCCTATGAGGATTTACCGATTCTATGAAGTCTATAGCATCATCAAGAAAGCCTCTAAAAATACCATATTACAAACAATGTATCAAATTCAGTTTTCACTCATGGATGTCTCATAACCTGAACAAATTACATGTACAAGAATATATATATATTAAAAAAATAACATATTGCAGTCTGTCATAAGCTATAATCCATAATGGACACATACCATGTGTTTCGTACACAGAATCGACCCATTTCAACATACATATCACATAAAAAAATAATCATGAAAGATGTTGACAAGTAAGCTTTTTTTGTTCTAGAATTGTAAGTAATAATACTTAATTATTCACAGCTTTGAAAAATAACTATCTCTTTAAAGAACTAACATCGTCACAGATCATCTAAATATTTATATTTTTTTAAATCTCACTACTATAACTAAATAAGTCATCTATCACTCCAATAGTAAGATAAGAAACTTACACATCTATATAATTTTGTTTTATTTTGTGCAACGTTTTGGGCACTTAAAACCGTGTTACCTTGAAATTAAGCTAAGAATGTAAAACACTCTTAACTACCTGATTAACGGCATTTGCTCAAAATGTTGCACAAAATAAAACTAAAAAGTTTTTATTTAGACTTGTACATTTATCTTTCACTATTCTTTATCCAAGTTTTTCTGCTTATGTCTTGTAGAAAAAGTCACTCTCGATTCACTCCTATACTAATTACTCTCAAGCAGACTTCTGAAAACAGTAGAATTAATCCATCAGATCTTTGGTAGGAAAAAAAAAAAGAGCTAATTTCAGATTCTCCCAACCATGTACGACGTTCTATCATGCATTTACTAGAAAAAAAAAAGTAAAAATATTTCATTGTTTCTTTGTTGCGTATTTTTCATCCATTTTAGTACTGGTTGACATGAGCTGAAGGTCTGCCGAGACTATTTTTGAGTTGTTTGCTGTGGCAATGGCTTGGATGAGTTTGATGTCGAGGAAGTATCTGTAATTGATGAAGAACAAGAGGACAACCCAGGAGATTTTACACGCAATGAGGTAAAATTTAAGCCATACTTTTTTAGCAGTTCAAGATCATTTAAAGGAGATGGGGTGAAAAAAGGAGAGGTTGAGAGGCTAACGCTTTCTCCACCAGGATAGGAAGAATCATCTATTTCTGTGGAATGTTCTGGAATAGCAGAATTGTCCAATAATCCAGGAGTAGCCTTCTGCCCCGTAGGGCAGGTTGTTGGACAAGACAGTTTTTCATTTATGATATCCAAGAGAACCTGAGAGTTGGCAGTAGGCTCGACTGAAGACTTTGCGAGTTCTGTGGTTGATTCATATGTTGTTGATAATTCAACCTGCTTGTCAGGATTCACCAGATGTAGTGATGGCAAAGCTGACTTATTCTTACGCTTGAATCTGGGCGGGGGAATAGGTTTATTATCATGTAATAGGAGATCATCCTGGCTAGAAAGAAGCTCCAAGGAAAATGTTTCCACACTGCCTGATGACTGGACCTGGAAAAAAAATACATAATTGAAAAATAAATAGGTTACGAAAAACTAAAAATTAACTCACAGGTCAAAATTAGTGAAGCTGAGTAAAATTGGTTTTTACAGGGACAGGAAGTTAAACAAAAATAACTAAACTGACTGCACCAGTTGTAGATAAAACATAAGAAGTGACAGACTGTTGGTGAGGGGCCAAGAAACGTGTAGGTTATTGTGTAGGGATTAGAGTATTTTAATGCAAAATTTAGTGTAACTCACCATTCACAGAAGCAAGACATTCGTATTTTATTGAATCTTAATTAACACAAAAATAGTGTAAATTGTCTGGAGATACGTTTTGTTGTGAATACAACACAAATCACAAAACCAGTTTCATTAAACATAAGTAGAATAACATAATTCTAAAGTATTGAACTTATTTTGTGAAAAACGACTGATCTCATTAAACACGCCAATAACAGCAAAATAATCATGCACTCAGTATAACTCTATGGCAGCCACATCGTGGATTAACACCAGCAGTTCCCTTGCACATGTGGGCTATGAAAGTTGAAGTTAAAAAGTTAGTGATGAAAGGAGCGGAGTCCCCACCAGGCAAGAGTGACTGATCATTCCAAATGTTTTAAGGCTATAATGCATAAAAATGCATGGCTATTTGGTGTATGTAATTTTTATATGTACTTTTTATTTTATGTACCAAAGGTAAGTAATGAAAAACGTATGCCAATTTTGTTTACTTGAATTTTTTTATAGGTATGTTATTCTTTTAAAATTTACCTGAGATGGTGATGATCCCCACTGTCTCCAAGGTAAACACTAAACATAAGACATTGTCATAAACATATATTATCCAATATATAACATTTATTCATTTTATTACGTTAACCAGAGCCATTACCTGGTCAACAGAGGTCGAATTGCTGGTTGCTGAAGAAGCTGCTATGCTGTCCAAGGATCCGTGGGCACACTGGGTGAAGATGAGATCGACGATTAATGGGGAGGACACCATACGGATCCCAGGCCATGAAGTATGGTACCACGCATGCCCACACAGCTGCCAGGCTCGGCCCCACTAAATAATCAAAGTGAAAGAACACCTTAATATAATATTTGCTTCTATTCAAGAGAGTGGTGTTAAGTAAACTCAGATTCAAATATCTTGTTCTAAAAGTTATCAATTGCCTGCAAAATCCAGCTATTTGGTAGATACAATTTTATTTTAAGTGTTTCTTTATTTTGTTACTAAAAAATTAAAAATTTAATTACAGATATTTCATTTGTACAATGAAAAAAACCCTATTAGTATCCCATATACGTCAAAATGGTCTGCCATGCCATCTAGTGTATAAATTTCAATTCTTAAAATGTGAAGCTGTTATATTCAACTTACTGATAGGATATTTATCATTTATTCTTATTTGTACAGTGGAAAATAACTGTGGTAAAAGGACAGAATAACAATGTTGTTATAAATGACCCATGTCAGGGTTGTCCGATTGTGTGCACACACAGTGAGTTGGGGTGGAGGTGGAAAGCGTGGGTTCTGCTAAATGCTCCCCAAACGTTGGTCCATCGCTCCGGGGTACGTGCACCGTCCAGGAGGAACCATTCCACTTTCACTGGCCTCCCAATCAATCTAAAAATAGAATAAAAACATTTCTTTCAAGCATTAGAAATATTTACTGCAAATAAAAAAAAATGTAATGTTTGACTAAAATATGTATATTTTTGGGCTTTTAGTATTTTTCAATAGATGGCGCACTCTTCATCTATTATATTCTGCTTTTTAAATATAGTGGGAAGAGCATTAGAAAAGATCACATAATAATGTAGCGAGTACAAAAATGACATTGGTGTAAGAAGATATGTGTAAAGTTCAGATGGTTGTACAACACCTGGTTTAAACTGTGCAACTTAACATGGAAAGCAAGTCAGAGAGCATGGTGTTCAAGAACTTGGAGATGAGAGTAGAAAGTGGAAATCCAGTTGGTATGTCAGACAGGGTTGGAAGTAGGTTTTATATGTGTACAGTAAAAGAGATGGATAAAAGTTCCCATGAGAGACCTTGTCAGAGAGAGCAGACAGATGTGGCTTCCATGTGAGATATTTATCACTGAGGCAGAAAGTAGGATGATGATATTGTCTACACAGACATCAAATAAGGACAGGTCACAGCAGGGGTGGAATTTACAGAGTGTAAGACCAAATAGACCTTATAAATGTGAAACCATTATATAATGTGGCTACGAGACTGGAATTAAGCAAACTGAAACTCAATTAGTGTGTTCACTGCATTTTCAATTGTCTAAAATGTGGAACTATTTTGTTTAACTTTAGATGTTGATTTACTTTTTCATTAGTGCTATAAGACAACTTATAGTGCTATTTAGTGTTAATAATGTGAACCTATTATGAAAAATTCTAATAATTAATGTTTAAAATAAAAATTTACACCTAGCAAACATTAATCAACTCAAATGCTGTGTAAAAAATCCGTTTTTTTATGGTTGATAATAAAAATTACAAACAGTTTGAAATACTAGATAAGGGATCTCCATTATTATCATTATTGTGATTTTTCTATATTTTACCCTTTTTAAATATATTACAGTCATACAGTCTGTAGGTGCTGTTGACTGGTATTGTAGCCATATAGTGTGTAGGTGCTACTGACTGTTATTGTAGTCATATAGTGTGTAGGTGCTGTTGACTGGTATTGTAGCCATATAGTCTGTAGGTTCTGCTGACTGTTATTGTAGCCATATAGTGTGTAGGTGCTGCTGACTGTTATTGTAGTCATATAGTCTGTAGGTGCTGCTGACTGTTATTGTAGCCATATAGTGTGTAGGTGCTGCTGACTGTTATTGTAGTCATATAGTGTGTAGATGCTGTTGACTGGTATTGTAGCCATATAGTGTGTAGGTGCTGCTGACTGTTATTGTAGTCATATAGTCTGTAGATGCTGTTGACTGGTATTGTAGCCATATAGTGTGTAGGTGCTGCTGACTGTTATTGTAGTCATATAGT